GATGAGACAACCAACTCCTTCACGTGCTCTTTCTGACGGGAGTGCTCCACTGAGTATTAAAAAATGGCCATTTTCAAGAAACTGTGTGCTCTTACCCTCGAATATAACAACCCAAAATTCACAAATCCGATATTCCTCTAGGTCCCATTGTCAGTGCATACGACTGCCCTACACAATCGTTGGCCAATTGTTTGGCCAAAACCCTACAACCTCTTGCTGAAAATGCTTCATCCTTCGTCAAAAATTCTTTTCATTTTATCGAACTTCCTAAACAATACTCTAATCTCACCTTCAGATATTCTAGTAAGTTTCGATATCGTTTCACTTTTTACACACATTCCTATAGACGAAACTAAAAACATTCTAAATACTAAATACAGTATCAAGTAATGTAATTACAGTAACGTAATTAAAGATTTTAATACAAAAATGAAAATTAGTGAATTGGCAAAGAAGTTTGATCTGTTGGTCAGAACAATTATAAAGGGAAAAGAAAAAACTCTCGAAGCTGTGAAGAGAGCATAATCTTTAAATTCAACCATCGTTCGTAAACTTCACGGCATTATCGCCGAGATGTAAATACTGTTAAAATTATGATGTGATAATAAGATCAATGTAAAAAATTATGCCCTTGATCTCAAACTCAGTGTGTTATCAAGCGAAGATGATTTTTTGAGAGATTGAAAGAGGATGTTAGGGAGATCGCTAAAGAGTTTAAAGCTAGTTACAGTTGGTTCAGCTGATTCAAAATTCGCTGTAATTGTCATAGCTCTGCGTTTTGCTATACAGAGAAATTATATATATATATATATATATATAATATATATATATATATATAATATATATGTATATATATATATATATATATATATATATAATATATATAATATATATATATATATATATATATAATCGGTTTAAAACGTCCTCCGATGTCTTCCGATGCCCAATCTCCATGCATCTCTATCTTCCCAAAGATCTTCGTCTAAACCTCTCTCTCGGGACTCTCTGTCTATTCCTTCTCTCCAGCTCTTTCTGGGTCGGCCTCTTTTTCTATTTTCATGTGGTGACCAATCTATAATCTGTTTGGGCAGACGATGTTCTGGCATTCTCTGCACATGTCCATACCACTTTAGTTGTTGTACTCTTATATCTTCGACAATCGTATGTGTGACTCCCATAACCTCTCGTATACGTTCGTTATTAATTCTTTCGAGTTTTGATTTTCCTGCGGCCCGTCTCCAGTAGTCCATCTCCGTGGCTTGTAGTGTTCTTTCAGTAGTTGCCTTTAACTGCCACACGTCACTTCCATACATTACTATGCTCTTTATAATAGTGTTGTATATTCGATGTTTATTTTTTTTTGGATAGATGTTGATCCCAGATAATACTATTTAGTTGAGATATGGCCCTTCTACCCTGAGTGTTTCGTTTTTTTATAGCCTGATCTGATTTGCCGTCGTCTGTGATTTCTACTCCTAAATAGGAATATTTATTGTTGTACTTAATGTGTTGTCCGTCGTTTAAAACTAGATTTTGTTCTTTACCACCGATGTTCATGTACATTGTTTTATCTATGTTGACTTCTAATCCCCATTTTTTGTATTCTTCGATTAATTTTCAAGTCATGTATTCTAGGTCGTCATATTCGTTAGCAATCACAATTTGATCATCAGCAAAACATAGAGTGTACAGGTTGTTATTGTTTAATTGTATACCCATGCCGCTGCATTTCCGCTTCCAGAATTTTAATGCTTGTTCCAGATATATTTTGAAAAGTGTCGGCGCTAAGCAGAGAAATTAAAAGTTATAATAGATTGATGAATAAACCAAACCATATTCAATGTAGATGCGACTGGCATGTTTTGTAAGAAAAATATCTCAAAAAACACATATCGCACGTAAAAATCAAACCTTTCCTGGTTTAAAGTCGCCAAAAATTAATTGACAGTGATGGTTGACGCGAATACAGCTGGTGATTGTTAAACCTCTGTTAATTTATCGTTCAGAATATCCTGCTAAGAGAATTAAAAACTAACTCCAAATCTGATTTGGCTGCATTTCGGAAGTCTAAACATACAGCTTTAGACAAAAAAGACATTGAGTTTATTAAGGCTATATACTGGAACCAGAAAGCAGTAGTAAAGGTGAACGATATAGAAACAAATAATATACCGATTGCGAGAGGGGTTTGGCAAGGATGCGTCTTGTCTCCGACGCTTTTCAACGTGTACTCACAGGTCATATTCAGAAAAGCCTTATGGGAAAGAAAAGAGGGAATAAGAATTGGTGGAGAAATCATAAACACCATGAGATTTGCAGATGACACGGTAATTATGGCTGAGAGTATAGAAGATCTACAAACTTTACTAGATGCAATAAATAGTGAATGCATTCAAATGGGACTTGACATCAACACAGATAAGACCAAATTTATGATGATCAAGGAGTCCAATAAATAATGAACAACTAACTCTTGGTGGACAGCAAATAGAGAGAATGACAAAATATAAATATCTGGGAGCTTACATCAACACAGAATTAGATCCAGACCAAGAGATCCGGGTACGAATAGAAATGGCAAGGGCAGCGTTCTTAAAATTCAAACAATTGTTATGTGACAAAAATCTGAATATTGCGCTGAGACTGAGGTTTGTTGAATGTTACGTCTGGTCGCAACTATTGTACGGGGTAGAAACATGGACACTAAAAGCGCAAATAGTTAAAAAGATTGAAGCCTTTGAACTTTGGATATACCGGAGAATGTTGAGAATCCCATGGACTGCCAGGGTCACCAATGAGGAAGTGCTGAGAAGAATGGGTCGAGTCAAAAAACTGTTGAGAACGATAAAAGTACGCAAGACTGCATACCTTGGACACATACTAAGAAATTAATAAATATAGTCTTCTGCAGGTCATCATGCAGGGTAGAGTCGATTGCAAAAAGGGAATAGGTAGAAAGAGGAAGTCATCATGGCTGCGAAATATTCGAGACTGGACAAACATGACTGTAGACGAATTATTCCACGTTGCAAAAGACAGAGAAGCTTTTAAAAATGTGGTCGCCAACCTCCGTTAATAGGGACGGCATAGGAAGAAGAAACATGCAGCTTAGATGACAGCTACTCTTTTTGAGGACTGGTTTGGTCATCATTTTACGCCTGAACTAGAACGTTATTTTATCCACTTATCCTAGTCGAAACCACTAGGTCATCCTCCCACAAATTTAACGAGTTTTGACTCACATGCGAAAGTTTAAATTTTTGCCACCTAATACAACCAGCTTACTTCAACCGATGGATCAGGGTGCATTAAACATTTAAAGCTTCTTACACCAATCATTTGCATACCTGCATGAAGGTAAAAGAAAAAACAACGAGCTCTCTTTTAAAGACTTTCGGAAACAATTCAACGTTATAGATGTTGATATATTGAACAAAGATATTGTCCAATATTATTGGACAATATTGAAATGAAATTTTACAAAAAAAAAACGATCAGTAGAATCTGAAATCACTGGCACTAAGGTGGAATTATTGATGTCAGAACCTGATGAAATTAGTGATGCGATGAGAGATGTTGTTGATCTTCTTTCTTTCTTTTTTAAGTGCAGTCTCCCAATCAGAGGATGGATATCATCATCACTATTTTTGCTATATCTACTGCTGCTCTGAAGAGTTCTATAAAACTGCATTTAAACTAGTCCCTTAAATTCTTTAACCATGACACTCTCCTTCTTCCTATACTCCTTCCTCCTCTTATCTTTCACTGTATTATCAGCATTAGCAGTTCATATCGTTGTCCCCTTATTACGTGTCCCAGATATTGTAACTTTCTTATTTTTATTGTGTTTATTATTTCGCATTCTTTGCCCATTTCTCGCAATACTTCCGTGTTAGTTTTCTTCTGTGTCCATGCTATTCTAAGCATTCTCCTGTAACACCACATTTCCAAGGACTGTAACTTATTTATGTGTTCTTGCTTCAATGTCCAGCTTTTAAGTCCATATTGCAATATCGAAAACACGTGGCATCTCAGTGCTCTTACTCTCAGTTCTAATCTAACGTCTGAGAATTGTTTTCATTTTTACAAACGCATTTTTTGCTATATCTATCCTAGCCCTTATTTCGGTTGTTTGATCATTATTGTCTGAAATTCAGGTTTCTAGGTATTTGTATTTATCAACCCTTTCTATCGGTATATTTCCCAAATGTATGTTTGTTGGTATATTTGTTTTCTTTGTTATTATCATGTATTTGATCTTTTTTATATTCATTTTTAGTCCATATTTTTCACAGAAACTGTTGTTGATATCGCCATGCAAATTAATATAAAAGGAAATCCACAAAAACTGTAGGATTCCCGTTCCCACAATCAGGAACTGACCATTAATGAACCCACAGAAATGTATGAGGAAGAGCAAGACATTAAAGAGCTTGATGGTTTGGATCCAGTTAAAACTGAGGGTCAAAGGAAACTTAACTGAAGTTTAATTGAAAAGTAATTACAAATTCTCGAAAGCATATAATACAACGAAGAGCTCATTTCTTCTACAAAACAAGGAATAAAAAAATATTAGCCTGTTATGAAGAAGTAGAAGAAATATTTGAGACGTCAAACTACTTTCTTAGGTTTTATGATGCCTTCTACATCAAAATAACTGCGATTGACAAGTTTATATTTGTATATGCTAAGATTTTAATAAACATTTTTTGTAAATAGCTAATTTTGTTAGCTTCCGGTCCCAATTAAAAATAATTTATAGACATACATATACGAAATTATACCCCTACTTACGCGAATTCGATTTACGCGATTATCTCTCGGTGCCACCTATCGCGTAAGTTCGGCATATTACTGTATTTTATTTATATAGAATTTAGTAACGACGGAGACAAAAACAGAACAACATTAATAATTAGCAGGATCGTGGAAAGCTGCTTCCGCCAATAATTATCATTAAAATTATTATTTAAGGAAAGTTCTACTTTAATACTCACCGCTGTTGTTTTTCGCTTTTCTCTCTTCTTCAGCAGTAAATTCCTCTTCAGCATAGCTCTCAGCTGTGACAAATATAACGAATGTTTGAGTTCAGCCATGTTTTTTGGCTGAATGCGGGTCTTTTCAGTTACCTCCTCCCCTGTAATTAAGAGACATCGTGGTTAAGGGAGAAATTAAATATGTATCATTTATACATTGTTTATTTTATTTATTTAAAACAACTCTTTTTATATAGTAACGACACTCAGAGTTCATAATAATAACCAAAATTGTATAAAAATATACGAACCACTGTTTAATCATAAAATAATTTCTGAAAGCTTTTGTTTTACAATTATAAACACGAACTTGGATTTTACTTAAGATTCATTCCTTCGGCTTCAAAACAATATATTCCATCAATGAACAATGTATAACAGAAGATAACATTAACAAGACCACTAAGTTTGTGCACATTTCTAACGATTGTCATCAATGTCCTTTACGAAGTGTCAATCATAACTAAATTTCAATTGCACAGGCTGTACCTTCTCAATATAATATAATGAACAACAATACAATAGTGTGCCGTGGAAAATGGTCTGAATATAACTAGGTAAATGTAATAACATTTCGTATTAATCGTATGATGTCTATTTATTTAAAGCATCTACCATAACATAAATATTAAAATTAAATTGTAAAAAAAGGAAATGGATTAATAATACAGATAGGTATTAAATAATGCATGCTCGTTTTAGTATGTAACTGGTGTCCTATTCTAATTAATTCCTTCTAATGAAGCGATATCTGACCAAACGTATCTTTGAAATTATAAGGAATGAATATAAATGAAGACACAAGTGCATAAAGGATCTATGTAACATAAACTAACGTTTCAAGTAAAATGAATTCAAAGTTTTTTAATCAGAACTTTTTTATTAATAAGCCTAGAATGATACAATTTTGAAGAAACTTAGACCTTAAAGTATACCTTTTAATAATGATAAATTAACAATAATAATTCACAACTAAAGAAAAATATTTAATTATAAATGTACATGAATCCTTTATTCCCTAAGTAACTTAGGTCAACATTTTTAATTCAAAATGCATAAAGGATACAAGAAACAATAAAACGATGTAAAACCAAAGGTTATTTCTAATTCGTTCTTCTTTTTTTTATTTTTTTATTTATTTCATTTTCGATTTCTGCGCCTTCTTTATTTTCCCATAGACGAGTATAAAAATGTCTATAAATTTTCTCTATAAAACAAAGTTGTTGTTTTAAATTATTAATTTTTTCAACGGACAGAGTATTCGTTTTGTTTGGTATAATTTCTAATACAAAACCTTCTCCTGAATTCGCCCTGACATTTTTTATTAAATCCACTTTTAAGAACGGCGTGTTTGGGTCTAAGGAGTTTTTGTAGTAATATTCACCGTAGCTATCCACACGTATCCATTTGATATCATCTCTAAAATCTTTGTTCTATTTAATAAGTGTAATTTATTTTCTATGTGTGCTATAATTTTAAAATGGTCGGTCATATTTATAATAACAGAACCTTTTTACTTGATTCTCTTATAATATCTCTATATTGATCTGCGGCATATATGGTCTCAACTTTTCGTAATTTCTTTTCAATTATTCCAAAATCTCTATCAGAATCTAAAAAGGAATGCCCTACTTCTGGAAATTTCTGGTCTATTATCTTCACGTATCCCTTTAAAATTAAGTACTAATATAGGCATATTAGGTTAAAATTTTTGTTCTGCCCTGCACACGAGTCAGACCATATGAGAAGATGGTTTATTTCTTTCTTTCTGCTTGTTAAAAGTTGAACAAATGTGTGCAAGCTACTGCCAACTTCAAGACTGCCCTTCGTTGCTACATCTTCGGTCCAATTAAAAAAGTAGGCTTTATCACCCTCTGACGTTATTGAGTGGATTCCAAAATTATAGAACCACATCTGTCTCAAATAAAATGCCTTAGAAGTAGTAAGGCGTGGTAAAGGCATGGTCTGTTGTAGGTCCATGGTTAAATAGCATATTTCTTTATTATGTGCCCGTTCTCTATCGACTTTTTGTTGCTCAAAAGCAAATTTAAATTTTTCTTTGTGGATCTCATTCCCTAAATTGGTATCGCACATACTGCATGTATCACTTTTGGGCTGGCCAAAAGACAAATTAAATTCTGATGAGAAAATGTGCGTATAAAAACTTTTTGAAACCAAAAACCATTTGTCCATCTTAGTTTCTTGAACATATTCTTGATACAATTCATGCAGTTTTGTTATATTTAACAAGGGACACAAATACATTTTATTGGCATTTTTGTTTCGCGAATAGTGTGACTGTTCTGCAGGAAAAGAAAGAACGTGTCCTTTTACAGCATCAACCACATCTTTTTCTATCTTATTTGGTCTTGAATTATGATCCCCTCTTTTATCTGGTGAAGGAGCTGTAGTCCCTGATTTTAATCGATTCTGAATGAGTTGCAACTTTTTATTTGATATTTGGTAAAGGGAGATAAAGGCAGTCTTACAGACAGTTTTGATACGTGTCTGACACGTTATTGTGTAACCAAATGTATATGATTTTATTTTTACTAATGTTTTTTCTATGGCGATTAACTGGCATAATCGAAACATATTTAAAAAGTAATGAGTTCTTTGCATTTTGATATAATGTGTAAAACTTACGAAATATTGTTTCCCTATCAAACTTGTTAAATTGCTCATCACATTTCTTTTTGCAATTTTCTTTTTTGCACAAAGATCCTAATTCAGGACTTTTGCTTGACATCTCTTTTTTACTTTTTAATGACATGTATGTCTCACCTCTCTGTCTCGCTAAGGCAGTCTTATTCTTCTTGCATGTTTCAGGACGGCGTTTTCTTATCCTTGATTTGTTTTTTCTGGCAAATTGAATACCTTTCTCTTAACATTATGTCTATTAAAAGACTTTCCTTCCTGTCTAATAGATTTTCAGTATTTTCATGTTGAGTTATAAGTAAAACTGAATCTTCTGCTGTGACATGTGTTACTGATACAGGATGACTTTCATCCTCACAATGAGAATCTTCAAAACTTTCGCTCGAATCAGTACTATCTGGATTGTAGTCGTCTGAAGTATATTCTGGAGAAATTACTTCATCCTCAGATATAGAATCTACAATTTAAAATTTTGTTTAAACATATAGGGTAGGTAGGTTACTTTATAATTTTTATCTGTAGACCAAAACATTTAAACAATTTAATTTTAGAATGAATATTTACCGTTAAATGTATCTTGCAACTCCGGTGAAGATACCTGCTTTTCATGCAGGATATTCTCGATTCTTGGTAGAGTTTTATCTTGTTCAGGTAAAGTTTCGGCAATATCTGCGACAATAAAGTTATGCTTAATCTCTTTTTATCTGATCAAGTTGTTCTAAAATGTTAAAATAATAAAAACATTGCTCAAAACAACTTTTATGCAGGTATTTTGTTACCGCTCTGGTAAACTCTTAACCTCAAATTAATATTAAGAAGCATATTTTAGTAAAAAACAAGATTTATTATTAATTCAACATACCTTCATACTGTTTTTGTCCCAGATTAAGTAAAAGTCTACTTCTTGCTGACATTTTTGCAAGTTATTTCACTATTTTCACTATAAAAGTACACAGTACGATTTTAGATGTAAAGAACAACATAACCTAACTTTAGGGATCTATGTAACATGACATGACAACAGCAATCCGTTTGGTCAGACATAAAAGATCTATGTACAATATTGAGCACATGGATCTTTTATGCACTTTTGTAATAAAATATTGCTTGGTACATAGATCCTTTATCCCCTAAATAAATAGTTGCTAAACGTTTTTAAGCCAAATAAATCTTATGAAGCAAATTTAGGGGTTAAAACAGACCTACTGAGCCTAAAACCTGATTTTTTAAAAAAATCTTACATAGATCCTTTATGCACTTGTGTCGTCAAATAATGTATAATCTTGCCTTTGTAAGATACTAATATAAACTGCAAATTTAATGGAGCATGATTATGGTTACGTCCTATGAAATGGTCAGAAATTGTTTGCTATTTTTGTTTTTTTTTGTATTTAATCTAATTAATTAAAGATAAAATTAACCCATAATACGCTGAACGGCTAAATCAACTAAAAACGAATAAATGTCTGGGAGAGGATAAAATTACAGTGGAAATGTTGAAAATTGGTGGCAGAAAAATGGAACAGGTATTAATAAAGTAATTGATAAAGGAAAGATTCCTTAAGAATGGTACAACTCCGAAGTCATTCTACTATTCAAGAAAGGAGACAAAGCAAACATCGAGAATTACCGACCAATATCCTTGCTATCACATCTGTTTAAATTACTAACTAAAATCATAATCAACCGCCTAACACAGTAGCTGGATTTCTCTCAACCTATCGAGCAGGCCGGATTCAGAAAACATTTTAGTACCATAGACCACTTGCACACTGTAAAAACACTAATAGAAAAATGAACCGATTATATTGTTTCAATTCATATGGCGTTAGTCGATTTCAATAAAGCATTCGACTCCATCGAATTATGAGCAGTTCTTTAATCTCTAGAAATTGCACGTATAGATTCAAGATACACTAACATAATTAAAAAAATATATGAAAATTCCACCATGCAGATAAAGCGGGACGAAAGCACAAAAACTAATCCCATAAGACTACAACAGGGAGTAAGACGAGGAGACACCATCTCTCCCAAACTATTTACCCTTGCTCTAGAAGACATTTTTAAGAAACTAGAATGGGACAACAACGTCGACTTCAACGTCATCAACTAAATGATATGTTACAACAATTATTTGCAGTTTCAGGAGCAGTAGGCTTAAAAATGAACTACAGTAAAACAAAATTACTGAGCCGAGACCAGACAAATATAACAATACAAAATCATACCATAGAAAATGTTGAACATTATGTATATCTAGGTCATGTCATCAAACTAGGAAAACCAAATCAAGATGCTGAAATTAAAAGAAGAACACAACTGGTATGGGGCGCTTTTGACAAACTAGGATATATATTGAAAAAGAAAAAGGTGTATAATACATGCATACTACCACAGCCACCTTTACTTCCAAGCCATGAAGTAGAAATTTGACAACAAC